TTTAAGCATTCGGCTTGGTAAATTTACGTATTTTATGTCAAATAATGTAAAAATGATAATAAAGATTTTTTTAAAGCTCAAACCAACGGTAGTAGATAGATTTTTATTACCTGCTGGAATCTTAAAGATTTGAACTTGTGACTAGCAACTTGAAAAATAAATAAACAAACTGCTGACACATTTTTCTAACAATACCGGGTATCAAATCATTAGATAAGAAAGATGTTTTATTATTTTTTTTTTTTACTGTATTTTTATTTAATAATTGCTGTCTACCCGAATAAAAAGCTTAACATATTTTTTTTTATTATCAAGATTTTTTAAAAAATTATTTCTAAGTGAAGAGCGATATGAGGAAAAAAAAAAAACTTTGAATTATTGAAATATTTGCTCCGAGAGATGGAAAGAATCTTGCATTGTTCAAGATAAAATTTATGGAATGTTCACTCAACTCAACACTTTAAAGTCCAAAGCTATGCATTTCAATGTGGGTGCCGAAGTTATATATTGATGCGTGTATCATTCTTTCTTTTTCTTTTCTAATTTTTTTAAGGCAACGAAAATAAACGCCGAATAAAAGGAGTCTAAAAAAAAAAAAAAAAAAAAAAGGAAAAAGAGAAGATGAGGGTGACTAACTTTTTAACTAGATCTCACCAGTACGAGGGTGGAAAGTGATTTTTGGAAGAAGACGACGACATAGCATAAAAATGCTTTTAAAGATTTGTATAAGAAAGCTGATAGCTGCAGTAAGCAGAGATGTTTATCATGACAGTTTCCGAAAATGAAAAATGTCGCACGGCACCAGCTTAACAATACCAGTGGCTAAAAAGATTTCGATTGAAGAAAGAGTGCAAATCTATATGCAAAACCAAAAATGATGTTTATTTGTAAAATATGAGTTATCTTACAGGAAGAAAGCAATAACTGCGTGCACACATCTCTTCAAATTTCGAAACTACGACGACGATGACAATGATAAAAATTGGGGAAAATAATGCGCTAAGGAGACAAGGCATCGCGGCTTCTGCCTGCCTCCTCCTCCTTCGTTGTCGTCTCCCAATCCGTTAAATTTCTCCCTTCTCAGCTTTCTTCGAATGCGATCAATTCACAGGTGTGGTGGTAATGTGAATATTAGCCGACAAAAGATACAATTCTTTATGGAAATTACAATGCTATACTTCCGAGTAAAACTTTCTCCGATCGGAAAAAGTCATCTTTTTCTCGGATCGATATTATGGAGTTTTCCTCTTCTTTGCTGTCTATCTCTTCTCTACACTCCCCTCCACATACTCACAAACACATACTCCGTTCCTCAACAGCATCGCTTGTCTATCAACCATCACAATGAGAGATGTAAGAATAAAATGAATGGATGGATAGATTATTGGTAATGGAAAAAGATGAATTTTAGTTCGAGTCTTCCTTAAAAAAAGAGTACTTAATAAATCGCTTTCATTTCGCACATCTTAACAATTTTAAAATTAAAGGGCGTTTGTTTTTGTTTAACTTGGGAAATGATTGTCCTTAAAACCCCAAACTGAAACTAAAAGAATGTTGAAATGCACAGAGGAATGTTAGATTTTAAAATAATGGAACCAATGAAAACAATGGAATAATTCGCGCCGAGGAATTCTCCCTCTTGTTTATAATTTTCAAAACCATTGGCAGTAAACCTAAATCTTGGAGATGATAATAGAATATCTAACTGTAATATCAGTTTTATGAAGCTTTTTAGTCACATAAACAGACTATACGTAAATGTATGCAGAAGAGGAAGGGTTTTTGTCAAAAGAGAAATATGTAGAGAATTTTATAAGGAGCAGTTCAACAATAAGGTTTTTAGGGTACATTTAACTTTTATATCAAACAATATTTATGTTGACCGTTTTGAAGTAAAAATGAGTGTTTTATGGGAATGCATTTCAAATAATAAAGAAAAAACTTGTGTTGAATTTCTGTTGAATTCCAGTCCGAATTTGTTTTGTGTTCTTTATTATGACACTACATTTCAAACCGAATTTAAAAACTTAAAAGGAAATTAATGAGTGCAAAAATTTCAACAGTAAAACTTTTTTTTTTTTTAAGCATCTTAATTTTTTCTGGGAAGCTTTGTTACTAAATAAATAGTATATAAAATTTTACATTTAGTAACAGAAAATAACGGATAATTTAGAGTTTAGACAAAAAAGTAACCTACAGATGGAGTTTTGCGTCAAATAAAAATCCTAAATTATAAAAATTAAAAAACAAAAATGTACAAAACAATAATATTACTAATTAATTACTACTGAAAATGTTTAAGGAATATGACACCTAATTCTTTAAATGAATCGGCATAAAATTTAAAATTTTTAATCATTTAAAAATGAAAAAAAAAATAATAAAAGTGAAACTTAAAACAGAAGAAATCCAAACAAACATCTCTGTTATAAATATTTACTGATTAGCCGGTAACCTGTGATCATTCAGTTTTTACACAGGTTCGTTAGACAAATTTAACTTGTTTATTCTCGACAATTCTGTCAATTTCCTTACCTCTTTTGTTCGTAATTACAACTTAGTTAAATTTGGTAATAATGGCAAGATGCCTTTTTAAGAAAACTAAAAACTCAAACAAGAAACATTTTTTTCGGTAATTTTTTTTTTTTTAAAGAAAGACGGAAAAACCTAAACTATCGAAATAATGTTATTTATATCTCTACTAATTAATGCTTCGTGGTGAGAATTTCATCTGTTACGATAAAGAAAAGGGGAATATCCATTCGACAGATTTTTAAAAAAAACAATACGGACATTTCACATAAAGAAAAAATAATTTAAGTATTTCTTGATGAATAATTAATTTTTAGTGCTAAGTATAATAAAACAAGTAACATTGTTTTTCTTTTAAGATAAAAGGAAAATAAGTGGGGGGAAAAAAATTCTATCAATTGATTCAGCGACACGGTTGTACAAAAACACTAGCAAATTATTTAACAGTGTATTTAAATTCAATTTAAGTCGTAAAAGCACAAAGCAGAAAAAAACTTATTAAAAGAAAGAATAAAACAAGAAAGCAATAACAAAGCAGGAAGGATCATAATGAAAAAAAATAAATAAATAAAAATTACGATCACACGGACGTAATAGCCAAAAAAGACATATACAATGACGTTCTTAAGAAAAAGGCTGACTTGATTTTTACTTTGTTTGGAGATTACTTACATTGGATTTGAAGCATTCCAATAAAAAGGTAAGCGCTTTCCACTATCAACCATGTCAAGCATGGACATAGCAAGTGGCAGCAACAATGTAAGGTAGTGAATGAACCAGGGCATCCTACGGTACACCCGACTAAGAACAGTTCCGACTGGGCCCATTTTTCTGTCCGTTATTCATTGACGGTCGAAAAATTCAAGTAATACGGAATGCTCCTCACACACAGGAAGGAACACAAAAGTTTTCTTTTGGGAGAGAAACAGACAAAGATTAATAAGGTCCAAATTTTCTCCGATGTCGTATGCAATGTATTGTAACACCCGGGATTTTATTTCGTTCTTTGTGATTCCAGGAGACAGTGAGAGAATGGGGAAAATATCCACGTTTCTTTTGAAAAAAAAGGGGAAAAATCCTTCGCGTCGTTATAGGAAATTCAGGAAAAAAAGAATCCAGGAACGAATTTCGTCTTGTTAAATATTAAAAAAGGAGAAAAAAAAATAAAATAATAAATAAATATATTTATATGTACATATGTATATATTTGTAAAGAAACACCAGCCTTGATTGTGGTGTAATCTTAAATTTACCTAATTTAGCTTATTAAATAAATAAAAAAATAAAAAAAATTTAAAATATTTGCAACTGTTTTGAATATTGTTGCTTCAATAAATAATTTTACTTTGTTTTTCTAACTCCTTCAAAAACTACAACTTACGTTGTAGCGACAGTCTGTCTATTTTATACATTTTTATAGAAAAATCCGTTTAAGGGCTCTTTGAAAACAACTTTCTATTATTTTCCTTGCTTTTTCCAAGACCGACACTGCCTGTGAACTTGTCAAGTCGTTTCCTTAAGTTAAAACTAAGCCTTTTTTTTCTTCCTCCTGACAACTTTTTTTTCCGTTTAAAATGTTTCCTATAAATATATAGATATATATATATTCGTGTGTGAATGTATGTAGATGTTTATCTCTGTTGTGCAGAGTCAAAGGAAGGTGTGTTGGATTGTTTCGAAGGCTGGCTTAGCAAGTCTATATAAAACTCTTCTATTCTACATTCTCTTAATGACGATGCCGTCCGGATCTAGCTTGCCTGCACCTTCGAACGGATTCTGTCTCTCAAACTAAAGAAGAGAATAGAAATATGCTCTGCTTCTTTCTACGCCTCCTCCTCCCTTTTCTTCTTCCTCCCTTTTTTCTTCTCTTCTCTCACTCCGTCAGTGATAGCATGTGCTCCTCAGTACGTATTTGTACATATGTATTGTATTGTATGTATTGAATTGTGTGTCGACAATTTTATGTGCAGTTTTATAGGTATGTATGCGTGTATATATATATATATATATATATATATGTAACTTAAATTTCCGTTTTTCAATCTATATATTTTTTTTTAAGTATGTGTCGAACTTGTTTCTAACTAAATTTTTTGTAGTTAAACTATTAATATTAAAACTAGACTAGTAGATCTTCTTAAATCTTATATAAGAGCGAGTGTTTCTCTTTTCTTTTTGTCCGTTAAGCGAAAGAAACATCGCTTTTTTTTTTCTAAATTCGCGACTTAATTTCCGAAGCACAAGTTGCCTTGTATTACTAAACTACTAGCATTTAACAGAGACTACGACTATGACGACGACGACAAGCCGGCGAGTCGTATAGTCGAAGCTCACCACACCACCACCACCACACATGCCAGTGTTAAAGGCAGGATCAATATCTGAACAGAATAATAGAGAGGGGGTGAGGAGAAATGAAGAATAGGAGTGATAGTAAGAGGTGGATTATTTGAAGAGAGTTAAGAGAGTCACAAGACATTTAAAGACAGAGGTAGTGGACGGAACAAAATAAAGGACTTAGGGAGAGAGAGAGAAAGGGAAAGAGAGGAAGTTAAGGTGGGAGCGATAGATAGATAGATAGATATGGGAGAGAGAGACTGATAAACAAATACACTAAGGAAATAGAGAGTGAAAGGGGATTTACAAATAGGCGTTAAAAAGAAAAGGAAAATGTATGAGAAAAGAAAAAGGTAAAGAAATTAAAATCACTTGAGCGAAGAAAGAAAGAAAACGTAAGGAAACCCCCAAAAAAGTGATTAAAATAACGTTTTAAGAAATATTGAGATATATACATTTAGAGAAAAAGAGCGGAAAGAGAAATTGACGGGAAAAAATTACAGGTGTATTTAGAGGAGGAGACAGAAAAAACTGACAGACAGGTGTATTTGAAAGAGAAGTTAAACAGAGAAACACAATGTTGGAACAAGAGAAAGAGAGAAAAACAAAATACCTTTAAGGGAGAAGTAGAAAAGGGAGACTTTTAGAGAGTGTAGAGAGAGAGACAGTGTATTTATATAGCGAGTGAAGAGTGGATGTATTCGATGAGAGTGATAAGAGATAGTGAATGATCGGTAATGGTGTTTTAAGAAGAGAGAGGTGTAGAAAAGAGATAGAGAGGGTTTTATTCTGAGAAGTGGCGGCGAGTAAAGAGTGATACATTCGTACAGTGTACGCTCAGGAGATGAAGACAGATATACAAATTTATAGAGAGTGGGGGTTATGGGAAATTAAGACTGGAAGAACGACATAGATGTTTTAGAGAGAGGGTGAGCAATGACAATGGAAAAAAGCGAGACGGCATGCGTGCGGGAAAAAAAGAGAAAGAAACGAGAGGAAGAAAGATACTATGATCAACGTTCAGTCACGTGGTTCTGTGTGATTGGGAAGTGGTAGTGGTGGGGTAAAGAGGATGGGCAAGGGGGGGGTTAAAAGGAGGAAAAAGAAAGACTGGAAAAGGAGAGAGAGAGAGAGAGAGAGAAGGGAAACAATCATCAACGCACTGACTGGGTCACGTGACAGTCTCCTCCTCCTCCTCCTAGTTTCTCAGTGTTACCACCACCTCTGCCACAGCCAAACCTCACCAAAAACTACTATTACGAGTACGACTAATACAATTGTTGATGATGATTGAAAGTGGGGGGTGAAGTTAAGCAAAGAGTAATCTTTCTTTTATTTCTCATTGACAATTGGATGGGGACCTCCCCACCATCCCCAACTACACTCTTTTTTTTTTTTCTGAAGCGTCGTCCAGTTTTTGTTTATATAAACCGCGCAATATTAGATTTTAAAGTTAGTGACACTACGTTACGATAGTACAACTAAATAGAAGAATAAAAAAAATAAAATAAAAAATGAAAAGGTAATATTGTGATAGACGCGTTTTAGTTTTAAACAGGTTTTATGAATTTATTGTGTAGACACGCATCTTTCTTAAAGCACTTCAAGCGCACACAAATTTGACAACAGACGCATGCATCTTTATGAGAGAGAAAGAGAGTAAACTTGAAACAGTAACACACTGACTGCAGAACCGAGCCGAGCTGAGCACGCGCCTATGTGCGTATATGTGTACGCCCGCCAAAAAGGCGTTCGCATCTGAAAGTCGAGATTTCTAGTGCCTGTAAGTTTGCGCCAATACATTTTTACAGACAGCGTGTATCGCTGAAGTTTGTACATGTAAATGTGAGTTTTTTTGTAACGCACATTTATTTACACAGCATTCACATTCGCCGCTTTTAAACACACGCCTTTTTTATGCAAGAATCTTGTTTTCAAATACGAACACATAGCGTCGCTTGTTATCACAAAATCATATATACGCACATTCGAAGTAATGTGAAAGCAGGTACAGATGCGCAAAGGTAACGCACACAATACTCACATTCATGAGCGACATTCACAGGTGCGTAAAAACAGAACCGTAAAGTACTAACACACACACATACACACACACACACACACAAATAGTAACTCACAATTTTGTCTATTTAATTAATTCACAATTCACAAAACGACAGTCCATACAATCACATACATAAACCTGCATAATTATCAAGAAGTGTGTGTATGTATATGTGTGAGGGAGTACGCAATGCACATAAAAAGTGTATACTGTATGGTCGCAGACGGACGCACACAGACAGTCAGCGTCAACAATACTACTGGCCAGTAGCGTATTTAGACAATAACGGTGGTATATAAGAAAAAAAAAGAGTACTGTATATATATATATATATATATATATATATATATATATATATACACACATACACACAATCAGTACAGTTACACACTATGACCCTTACAATCTTTTTACCTCTCTCTAGCTAGTTTCACACACTCACACGGACGTTTACTCAGAAATCCACGCACTGATGAACAGAAAGACAGACAGAAGTTACACAAGCTTCTTCAACATTTTTGGTACGAATATGCACAGATACACAAACTGCAGTTTAAACTGTCATTCGTCTTTCTCTCTCTCTCTCACACACACGCACACACAGAGAAGCGCACAGGCGCGTACACTTACACAGATGCGAGCCTGTGGAGACATTATTCAAAGAACCAGACGCAGTAGCACAGTTCGATCTACATTTCACACAAATAAATAAATGTATTTTGAAAACGATAAACACACATAGACACACAGATTGTGCAGACATAAAAGGGATTTAGTACAAATAAAAATGCGCGCACTCAAAACCTTGCCCATAAACTTTTATGCCATAAAAGTATATTTGCGTGCGCGCGTGTAGATATGTACACGCGCTCGAATGTTGTGACACACATGCATTTTTAGTTCAAACAAAGGCTTATACGTATGTATGTGTTCGCACAGTCTTCAAAGGAAGAAAGAAAGCAACAAAGTGAGAAAGAATTGGGAACAGTGAAAAATGACAGAAATAAAGATTGAAGAAAGTGAAGAAGAGAATAAAATAAGAAAGGAAAAGGATAAACGGGAAAGAAAAGATCAGGCGGGAGAGAGAAAAGAAAAAGGCAGACAAGATAGTGAAAAAGAAAAAGGCAACCGAAAGAAGGAAAAAAAAAACAACAAAAACAAAAACGAAACAAACTAGAGAGGGGAGTAAAACGCAAAAAGATAGGGGAAGTTAAAAAAAATGGTAAGGAGAGTAAAAAGCAAACGGGAGTGGGTAGTAAAAGACAAATAGGTATGGGGAGTAAAAGACCAACAAGAGGAGGGAGTAAAACACGAATGAGAGTGGGGAGTAAAGTGCAAACGGGAGGTAAAAAGTGGTGGAAGAAAGGTAAGAAAACGGCAGCAGAGAGGAGAGGCAAACAGAGAGAAGGGATAGATAGGAAAAAGTTAAGCCGTTCGAAAAAAGGAAAGGAAAAAAAGCAAAGAAAAGGCAAAGACAGCAAAGCAAAGAAAAAGAAAAGACAATACAAAGAAAAGAAAGAGACAGCAGTGAAAAGAAAAAATACGGCAATGAGAGCACTTGAGAATGGGCAGAAAAATAAAAAGAAAGATTAGAAAGAAAAAGAGAGATAAAAAAAGAAGAAAAAGAAAATTGGAAGAAGATACAATATGAAGCTGAAAAAATGAAGAAGGAAACATGAAAATGAAATTAATTTGGAAAATAAGTAAAAACGAAAAAAGTAAAGATTATAGCAGTTGACAAGAGAGGTGAACCTGAATTCAAAAAGGAAGCGACACGATGATGACAGAGGAGATTTTTAAGATGAACGAAAGAGAAGCGACTGAGAGTATCTCAAGATTTCGCGTTTGTCACAAAAACTATCTTTGTCATCTTTCCTTCTCCATAGACACGCGCACTCATAGTGTGTAAGTGTGTGTGTGTGTGTGTGTGTGCGCGCAAACGCGCGTGTGTTGGGGGTTACTTTGTATTTAAAAGCGAAAACAGAAACGCAGACTCCTTCATTGTTCTAAACAAGACTATGATCCTTGGATATTTAGACATAAAAGCTTGTCTTGGAGACGCACCTGCACAGATACTCTTACAGGCAAGCGTGTGCGCACACACATACACACAGATAAATACGCGTGAGCGCGTGCACACACACATATATGGGCAAACAAAAAGTAAGAAGGGTAACATGTTCGTGTAATTATACTGGAAAAAAAATCCTGGGAGGCGTTATAAGGACAAAAAGTTTTTTTTTCTCTGAAACATTCCCAATGGTTTATTGTATATGAATACTTCAATTAAAAAAATAAAAATAAAAATGTAAGGACAAGGGAGAGGTTGTGAGATAATTTTTAGCAATTCAGAAATAGAGATTCTTTTATTTATTTAAAAAAAAATAATTCAATTTTAGTTTTAAAAAATTTAATTTATTTCTCCTATAACTCTAATGATTAAAAAAAATAGACATTTTAATTGATGACAACCTTAATATATACTGTCCACTTTATAAGTCGGTAATCTAAAACATTTTGTCTATTTACTGTCCTTTAAAAGTGCTTTGTGATCTTTAGTAACTTGTTTACGTTAATTATCAGAATGTGTATTTACAACAAGCTTTATTTTCATTCAATGCAAGTGTAAAATAAAATGAAAATTTTGTTCATAGCATGAAGTCACAATTAAAAAATCCCTAAAGGACTACCACCCATTTTCTTAGTATGAGTAGGCACAAAAAAGTTCTCAGTTCAACCCACTTTGCAAAAATCTGTATTCTACTATTTGGTCATTGAAATACTGAATTTTGGGATGTGGGCCAAGCTAAAAACTTTTCAGCACCTCCTCAGAGAACAAGTGACAACAATGTGGTCATATGAAAATTACATATTTCCTGTCAGTTCTAAATATTATAATAATAACAATAATGTTTAAATCTAACTAAATTGCTGCTTCTTTTTTTCCAGTTGTTCAATTATTAAACTTGCCCATTATATTTTATTGCTGAAGGAGAAAAGAAAATAAGAAAAATCATGAAAGTGTTGGAAAATTCTAAATATAAAACAAAGTGAAAACCAAAAAAAAAAAACCCTGGAAAATATTGTTGTCATAAAGTTAACAGAAAACTTTAATAATAAATGTACAAGGACTGAACAATAAGTCCATAGTTTGACAAGTGTTCACTTAATTATACTGATCTGAAATTTTTTCACTGTATAATATTGACAAGGATAGAGATTATCTTGAAAATAAATGTTTGTTGGGTAAATTAATGGATTTTCATCATTCACATTTCTAAACAAATTTGTACTAATATCGATTACTAATACATCTATAAGTAATTATAATCATAATACTTGTGCATCTGGTATGAAACAATTGTTAACTTGCTGGTCACACCTGATTATTATGACCGTAGTGAATTCAGCCTTCACTGAAGATTCTGCATTTGCAGCCTGATGTTAATATTAGAAATTATCCATAATCATAAAACTATCAAGTGTTTTTTTGAGGAACATATTTGTTTGTATAAAACTTTGTTCTAAATAGAGCTTATATATATATATATATATATATATATATATATATATATATATATATATATATATATAATTTTTCTTTCCTATAAAATAATCTAGAAAGCTGAGGAGCAGAAAAAAAAAAAAAGCAAGTGCTCAATATCAAATGACAGAACTTTTATAGAATAAAATCATAAAACACAAAGCATTTCTACCTACTACCACTGAAGTGGTTCATGTTTACAACTATTAGAAGGAGGAAATATATATATATATATATATATACACTTTTCATATTATTATACACTTTTTATATATATATATATATATATATATATATATATATATATATATATATATATATATAAAAGCAAGTAAAAAGCAGTAAAATCGACCTTGTAAACTGAAACGCTTCTCTGTGGCTCAATCGGTAGCACACGTCAGGCTATATGACAGTTCTGTATAGGATACAGGTTCGATTCCTGTCGGAGGATGCATATTTTCTATAAAAATTTCTCAGACATTCAGGCTGGTAAATGTCGTTAATACTGTTTACTATAAGCAGAGCATTTACTTAAATATTTGTATC